AGGCATGATCACCGTTGGGGTGGGACGTGGGCGGTTGGCCAGCAGGAGGGACTGTGGGAGGGCTTCAGCGCTTGTCCGGCCCATCTTGCTCAGTCCTGATCAGCCAGACCCCAGCAGCAAGCTAACCTACCGGTCTGAGCGTCTGCCCCCTGGTGGTTGGTGCACGTCATAGCAAAGAGTTGGGCAGCCTTAGCATATCATTAGCCTATTACGCTTTGATTGGTTGAATGGTCAACTGGATGACTGGACACTTAGCATATTAGGCTTTTATTATATAGGACTAGTGGCCCGTTGCACAAAGATTCACACAATAGGCCTTCCTTCCCGGCTGCTGGCACGGCTTTTCCTCCGGTACCCGGGACCCAGGCCTTTGGCCCAGCCGCAGCAGCGAGGCTTGGCTTCTCCGCTCTGGCTGCTCCCAGCCCCTCCTTGAGCAGAGCCCAGGGTGGGCTGGAAGCCTGGATTGCCCCCAGCGACCCAGGCCCCCAGCTACTCCTTGAGCGGAGTCCAGGGCTGGCGGGAAGCTTGGCTTCCTCTGTTGCTGGGAGCAACCCAAGCCTCCTGCTCACTCCAGCTCCGTGGCCACCGCCGTCTTCAGTCTTCGCTCAGTGCCTGTGTATGCAAATTAACTGCCATCTTTGTTGGGTTAATTTGCATAGTGGCTCTGATTGGCTGGTGGCCGTAGTGGAGTGACACCAATTTGCGTGTTTCTCTTTTATTAGAGTAGATAAAATAATCTTATATAAGTCAACAAAATTTATTCATTTAAAAATTTTAACAATGTAACATTTAAGATAAAAAGGTGAAGACAATTTGCTTTTGGCTAAAGTTTCCATATAATTTCACATCAAATCAGTGAATTTTTAAATAAAGTTTCTTAATTATAGGAAGTATAGTAAGACATCAAAACATGCATACTATTCTAAGTATGTGTAACTGACTCAGGTTAATTAGTAACATGTGTAAGGCTCAGTATTCACCTACATTTCAATTACAAAACACACAAGCCTATGGGAAGAACAGTTAACCCATACATTATAGACAAGGTGTATAATTTAGAATTTTATCAGCTGTTCTTTGACCTTTTGCATGATTTGTATTATACTGCATATAAAATTTTGTTTTAGGCTTTTTTTCACTTAACATAATCTGAAACGTTGTAAAAATATTTTAATAATGTGGAAAATGATGATGTAGAAAAAAGAATGATCTTGGTTCATTATAATTTCAAATGTGCCAACCAGACACAAACACACATGCATAGATGTTGAGGATATTGCTTAGTACCCCTTCCAAGATTTCAATTCATGTGATGCTATAAAATGTGAGGAATAATTGTAGCTACTGCACAGGGAAGTCATTAAAGTTCATTAAGACAATGGAAGGAAAGTTGATGATAACTGTATACCCATAAACTCACCAAATTCTCTTCTATCCAATGTTATGATTTCAGGATCATCATCATAAATACCTAATTTTAAAAGTCCATAAAAATTATAAAATTAAAACTTCATCATAAAAGTAAATTGCCACATTTAAAATAGGTTATTTACTCTTGTTTTAATCATCAAAATCAGATCACTGAACCTCAAAGTTGAAAAATATGCAACAAACTAAGAGGGAGACCTAGACTACACAAAACTGCTGCTGGTACCTTTAAAGAATGATCGAGGTACTAGTTTCTGATATGGATTGTCATAGGTGTGTGTGTGTGGGATTCCCAATATTCACAAAATTTTATCTTCACAGAAAATTCCTACTATGTTTTTTTAAACTTTTTCTTTTGAAATAGTTGTACAGACTCTCATTTACCTTTTCCCCAAGCTTCCCCTAGGTCCGTGGTCGGCAAACTGTGGCTCGCATGCCTCATGCGGCTCTTTGGCCCCTTGAATGTGGCTCTTCCTAAGCCTTAGGAGTACCCTAATTAAGTTAATAACAATGTACCTACCTATATAGTTTAAGTTTAAAAAATTTGGCTCTCAAAAGAAATTTCAATTGTTGTATTTGGCTCTGTTGACTAATGAGTTTGCCGACCACTGCCCTAGGTGATATGTTACATAGTTTTAGAACAATATCCAAACCAGGAAATTAGCACTGGTACATTACTGTTAACTAGACTACAGACCTCATTTATTTTTCAATCATGTTTTTAATAAGTGGCATCATTTAAAATTATATTCTATGGCTTAAAGTTTTATAATTAAAATACTTGCAGAGGTAGAGACAAACTTATTAAGTAAATATAAATTTTATTTACCATAATAATTAAAACCAATGTGAAAATTTCTCATTACTATTATGAAACATCCAAATAATATTAGTGATGGATATAGACCAAGGTTCAGCAAACTATTTCTCTAGAGATCAGTTAGTAACTTTTTCAGGCTTTGTGGGAAATATAATTTCTCTCACAACTACTCAAGTGTGAAAGCAGCCATAGACAATATGTAAATAAATGAACGTAACTGTTTGGGCATAACTCAGAAAATTGCAGTTTGGTCCCAGACCACCACAATGAAGGTAGGATCAAAGGTAGTTGTAATCTTTTTTGCTGGTGGAGGGTCTTGCCTTCAATTTGTAAAAAACGCAAGACCTGTGAATCCCAATGAGATGAGGTATGCCTGTATCCAATAAAACTTTACAAAAAGAGGTGGCAGGCTAGATTTAGACTGTGAAATGTGAATTGCTAACACCTGAAATAGCTATCATGCTGTAATGAATATACCTGAAAATAATACTTAGAAAAGACACTTAAGAAACATATATAATAGCTATAAATTGAAAACATTTTAGTTGAATATAAAGGCATACTTCAATTCTTAGCCTACATTTGAGGTTAATTAATGATCTAAGACAGTGGTTCTCAACCTTCTGGCCCTTTAAATAAAGTTCCTCATGTTATGACCCAACCATAAAATTATTTTCGTTGCTACTTCATAACTGTAATGTTGCTACTGTTAT